TGGCCCCTCTGGCTCACTGATAAAGTGAGCTGAGCACTGGGATTAAAGGCGTGCACCAACACTTCCAGGCCAGACCAGTCATATGTTAATGTGAAGGCCATTGAGTTCCTTCCAAGAGAATGAGTGGAGGAGGCCCTCCCTTACACAAAATGCCTGACCTGTCTGGGGGAAGCAGGTGCTTAATGACACTGCCATCTCTGCCCTACTAGCTCCCCTACTAGTGTTCCTGTTCTTGGTGTTCCTTCCTTAGGAGGGCACAGTGGAATTCCTGTTCCCCTGGTTTCGGGGATTTTATTTTTCCCATAAAGAATCATTTTGTTTAGAGAGCCCTCATTGGCCGTAAACAAGTGAATAAATGGATGGACCGATAAATGAATGAATGGACTGATGACTAATAAATGATTGATAGAATGAATGAGTCATTTCCAATTATCTATTAAACTTTCCATTGTTGGGCTCCTCAATCCCTTCCCACACCCCTCATTCACAGCCATAGTCCCTACTGACTGCCTGCCAACCAAATAAACAAAATAAACTCAACTATGCCTGACCCACAAAGCATAGAAAAGAACTCAAGGAGTGGCTGCTGTCATGTACAAAAAGAAAGTCTTCAAGGGGAGGAAATGAAGCAGATCATCTCAAGCCTGGTCAGTTTTTCTTTTTCTGGTTTATCTGTGGCTTTGACTATCATGAGTCAAACAGACTGCCTCACCTTCCAAGTGATGGTGTCTAAAGGTGTGAAGGCAGAGCCACAGCCCTTAGCACAAATGCTTGTAGTTTGTTGCTTTGTGAATGTTTTCAGACCATGAGATTAAAGTGTCCCTAACAGTTCTGTGCTAACTGGAACTCACTTCAAGAATACAGGCTGGCCCATCTGCTCAGGACAGAGATCTACCTACCTAGTCTACAATTTAAAGAGCAGTGTTTGGTTGTGGTGTGTGAGATCAGTGGAATACATTATTAATCAAACAGGTTTTTGCCATCTATTTCATCCTCTGAAGTTACTGTAATTGCTTACCACAGTGATAACCCACTACCTTCTTATCAAAGAAAGAGTTTAAGAACCACACCACGGTGGTAGAAACACATGAACAGAATTTTAAATTAAACTGAATTTATAAGATAAGGAGACCAGTTACATACACACACACACACACACACACACACACACCGCAGAAGACTTGGGCGAGGGAGCTGCTGGGAGCCTGTGAGATGGCTACACTGGTGTTCTAGGGGGAGGGCTCCTGAGTGTCAATCCCTATGATGGTGCCTTTTGGTACATCATCAAAAATGAGAGCACAATGAACACACATGCCTGTCACCACCCCAAGCACACATATGTCTGCTTGCCTGCCTGCCTGCCTGCCTGCCTGCCTGCTGCCTGCCTGCCTGCCCACCTACCCCCTGCCCACCCATCCGTCTGGCTGTGAAGGAACCCTGCACAGAGAGTGCCCGATGCCGTAGGAAGTCAGAAGAAAGGGGGTGGGTCTGCTGAACCCAGAGTCATGGAATGGCTGCCAGCTGCTTGTTGGCTACCATGTGGATGGTGGAACATGAACCCACAAAAGCGAGAGGAACCACGGCAGACAGGAGGGCCTGGGAATACACTGTATTCCATGTTTATGTCTGAGGTGCCTCCTACTTACCTGGAAACCAAAACAAATCCTTCCAAACATCTGACTGTCTGTCTGTCCCCTCCCTCCCTCCCTCCCTCCCTCCCTCCCTCCGTCCCTCCAGAAGTGGAAAGGGAGACCTCCTGAATAGAATTGGGAGTACTGGGGGGCAGGATAGTTGAGGGAAAAGTGGAGGATGGGGAGAAGAGAACATGCACAGGATCAGGAAGGATGAGGTGGGGCATGAACAGAGAAGGAGACCAAGGATACCTTAATAGAGGAGCCATTGTGGGTTTAAGGAAAAATCTGGCATTAGGAATTCCCAGGGATCCACAAGTAAGATGAACCCCAACAAGCAAAACAAAACAAAACAAACAAACAACAACAACAAACAAACAAACAAAACCACCTAGCAGCAGCTTTGGGTGTTGCAGAATCCTCAGGGACAGACACTCACTTAGACAAAACTTTAAAAATTTTAAATTTAAAAAATTTAAATGTGGCCTGGAGAAAAGGGACCTGTTCATCTGCTGCTGAACTGCATGTCATGTGCCACTCTAGTGCTACTGACCATAGAACTTTCATCACCAAGGCATGTTAGATTTCTGCTTTTTTGATATTTCAGCTTTGATGATGTTATGAAATGTCATCTGGTTGGTTTGTGTTTGATTTTTTTACTTTTAATTTTTTAATTTTATTTGAGCTCTTAGATATTTTTAAGGAGGGCAATGAGTGTTGTAATAAATTTCCTCATAGGAATGATTTCACTGTGTGCCAGGGTTTGTGTAGTGATTTAATTTTCTTGAGGGAATCTCTCTCTCTCTCTCTCGTCTCTCTCTCTCTCTCTCTCTCTCTCTCTCTCTCTCTCTCTCTCTCTGTCCTCTCTCTGTCACACACACACACACACACACACACACACACACACATTCATTAATTCTAGTTTTGTTTTCTCTCATTCCTCACACACTGATGAATGAGTTATTGTATCTCCACTACCATGGGCTCTGGTGTACCCACATACCAGGGAGGGCGAGGCCCTCCTTGGGAGGGATCTCTAAATTCTGTCATTTCATTCAGGGCAGGTCCTAGGCCCGTCCCCTTGTGTCCAGCCTGAGGCAGCATCCCTCTATTTGGAACAGGCTCCCAAAGCTCATTCATAAACCATGGTAAAGACTGATCTACTACCCAAGGCCCCAGTGGTTTCTGTGGCCTCCTCCCTGAAACTGCATCCATGGAGTCTGGATCCGTCCCCTGTTGGCCTCTCATCCATCAGTCTGGGATTCAAGAGCTGTCTTTGTGGGTTTCATCATCATGGTCTTGACCGCTCTACTCACCGCTCCTCCATCTCTGTCACTAGGTTCCAGGAGTTCAGTTCAGTGTTTAGCTGTGGGTATCTGTCTCTCTGTCTCTGTTTCTGGATGAAGGTTCTAGGATGGCATATAAGGTAGTCATCGACCTTATCATCAGGGAAGGGCTATTAATGTAGTCTATTATGGTATCTGTCGTCCTGCTCTCCTCTATTCTTAGCCTCGACTGTACCTGCCAGATAGGTCCACCATAACTTCTTCTCCCCCTCTCTTTTTTTCTGGATCACTCTCCCTTCCCCCGATGTTCCCAATCTGCTCAGGAGATCTCACCTCATTCCACTTCTCTGGGGTATAATGCATAGCTCTTGGAAACCTCCCTGTTTCGCAGACTCAAAGGCACTGGGGTTGTATGCTGACACTCCCCTGATCCATATCTCAAATCCATATATGAGTGAGTACATACCATGTTTGTCTTTTTTGATACTGGGTTTCCTCACTCGGGATGGTTTCTTCTAGTGCCATCCATTGTGTAAATGTACCACATTTTCTCTATCCACTCTTCAGTTGTGGGGCATCTAGGTTGCTTTAGGATCTGAGCTCCTAGAAATTTTTTTTAAAGCAGGGTTTCTCTGTGGTTTTGGAGGCTGTCCCAGAAATAACTCTTGTTAGATACACCTGCCTCCACCTCCCGAGTGCTGGAAGTAAAGGTGTGCACCACCAATAATCTCTTAGATTATTTTTAAAGGTGGGCACTAGAGGTGTAAATTTCCTCATATGACTGATTTTACTGTGTGCCAGGAGTAGTAGTTGCAGAGTGCTTTCTATTCACTCTCTCTCTCTCATTTGGCCTGGCACACGGAAAGTATTCCTGGACAGTAAGACTTTTCTACACATTGAGAAACACTGTCTCAAATAAAATATAAAAGTGACCTGGCCTGAAGCCCAGGCAGGCAGAGCTTACTCCTTCCCTCATAATTCAGATTCCCAGCACTGTTTTTGTTTATTTGTTTGGTTGCAAGTAGATTATAGTGTGTTTATGACTTTGTATTTAATTATATAGTTTTTCTTGTTGTTTTGTGTTTTGGTTTTGGTTTTCGGAGAGAGAGACAGGGTCTACTTGTATCATCCTGGCTGTCCTGTTACATAAACCAGGATGGTCTCTAACTCTGAGAGACCAGCAGGCCTCTGCCTCCCAAGTGTTGGGATGAAAAGCACCCACCTCTCAGAAAATTTAAACTTCTCTCTCTCTCTCTCTCTCTCTCTCTCTCTCTCTCTCTCTCTCTCTCTCTCTCCTCTTTCTTCCTTCCTTTCTTCTACCTTGTATGTTTGTTTGTTTGTTTGGTTAGCCCTGCTAGTTCCTGGCATTATAGTTGATGATGTTTGTTATCATCCTTCAGTGCTGGTTGAACTGTGGACAGACAGATGGAGGGATGGGACTTGCACACAGACACAGACATAGACACACACACACACACACACACACACAACATGCACACATGGACAGCTACGGGGAGCACTGTAATGTGCAAGGTGCTGTCAGTCAGTATGGAAATGAGTGACTAGTTGATACCTTTTAAGACTGTACCGTTGTAGCCGGGCGTTGGTGGCGCACGCCTTTAATCCCAGCACTCGGGAGGCAGAGGCAGGCGGATCTCTGTGAGTTCGAGGCCAGCCTGGTCTACAAAGTGAGTTCCAGGACAGCCTCCAAAGCTACAGAGAAACCCTGTCTCGAAAAACCAAAAAAAAAAAAAAAAAAAAAGACTGTACCGTTGTGAGTGGGATTCGATTGGCAAAGAGAGGCTTGGGAGCTGGGGTGTGGTTTTGAGATTGGGCGTTGACGAATGTATCTCGGACCTTGAGGCTCCAGTCATATGTTAATGGAAGCTCCACAGGTGACCTTGAGTGTCCTGTAGGTCACTTGGTTTTGAGTATCTTGTTCTGGTATAAGTACAGGGACAAATGTCCCAAAAGTGAGTGCCTTCTTGTAGTCTTATAAAGAGACCTCTGGCTTCTCTCTTTATTAACACAAATCAGAACTATAAAAATGTTTATCTGAAGCCATAATTTTCAGCAGGGAGGGCGGTGGTGGTACACGCCTTTAATCCCAGCAGTCCGGAGGCAGAGGCAGGCGGATCTCTGTGAGTTCCAGACCCAGCCTCCTGGTCTACAAGATCTAGTACCAGGACAGCCTCCAAAGCCACAGAGAGACACTGTCTCAAAAAACAAAACAAAACAAAAAAAAAGCAAATAAACATACATACAAAAAAAGCAAAAAGTAACAAAACAAAACACCTTTTCATATTGAGTGCATAATTGAATTTGAGGCCCCCTTGCAAATCACAACTTGCATTATGGCAGTTGGAAGAAAGGCTTTAAAGGAAAACTAACACATAGATTTGGCAAAAGCACAACAGACATGATTCTAGTCTGATATGATAACCTACTAGGAAGT